AACGTAGCAGTGCCGCATCTAGTGGGTTCAACTGGATAGGCTAACAAAAGCATTAAAATGCAATGACACTTACATTGTCGTCGCATTTCGTGTGCCACTGATAAGGCTGCCTGACGGCTGACGCAGACCTAAAATTAGAATGCAACGTTTTGTTTTGTTTTTATTCGACGAATATTCTAAATTCACATTTTTTTTGACAGCCCTACTTCTTTGTGGAATGTCTTTTTACTGTTTTGTACTGTAAAGTATATGGTAATTCACAGATTGTATTTGCTAAAAACCGTAATTTTGACAATATTTCATAGTAAAATAACATTTAATGCGTGTTAAGCCTTCTGCAAATCAAATTTTAACTGTATGTTAACTTACAATCCAAAAAAATGCTGGGTGTTTTGATCCAGCGCTTGTGTTCAATGTTTTTACCCAGCCTTTTGGGTAGTTTTATTTAACTCTATTGTTCAAAAATTACTATATGGCTGTCTTAAAATGAACCCAAAATATGTTGTAAATTAAAAATCAGACACATAATTACTAGAGGCATCAGCAATAATCAAAACATGAACATTTATTAATAAGCAATTTAAAAAAATAATAAATGAACCGAAAATAGGTTGTAAATTAAAAATCAGACACATAATTACTAGAGGCATCAGCAATAATCAAAACATGAACATTTATTAATAAGCAATTTAAAAAATAATATTATTTAATTACTATTTATTCAACTTATTAATAATTGTTCATTTCCAACCTAATTTGGGTTCATTTTAAGCAAGAAATATAGCGATTTTTAAGCAAAAGTTGAGTTAAATATAACTACCCAGAAGGCTGGGTTAAACATTTAACCCAACCGCTGGGTCAAAACAACCCAATTGGAGCGCTGGCATGTTTTTAACCCAGCATTTTTAGATTGCAAGTTAACTTACCATATACAGTTAAAATTTGATTTGTAAAAGTTTTAAGACATGTAGTGTTAATGTGGGGTGTAGTTAAAAGGTTTTTACTTCATTTTTCGCAAAAAAAAAAAAAATTCTGACATTTTTAGTCTTGTTTTATTATTTAAAAACATATTTTTGTGAAATGTCCTACTTGAATGTGTTGGTGCTTCTTTCTTTAAAAGTACATGGTACTTCATTTGATATTCTGTCTGATATATAATGCACATACTGTCTTTAAATTTTAGTGTGGCTTATGCGTCCAAAGTTTTCTGGGGTCACTGTATAAAACCTACAGCTGCCATATGCACAACTAAACAAATAATTACCATGTAGACGGCCCGACTCAGAGGTTTCTGCAGCGTTCTGTAGGCATTGTTCACCAGAGCTGATTGTTCTTCTGAATATTCCTGCTCTTTCTGTAAATAGGATCAGACCACAAAGTCATTCCAAATTAAAGTCATTCTTCTCACGGGCTACAAAAACAATTTCAACAGCCCCTAAAGGCACAAATCGCACAAAGCTCCAAAGTATAAAGCAACCTGAAGAATACTGTGATTGTGGTTTTATGAAGTAACAAAAGAAGTGTTATACAAAAAGAGTCTTACTCTGCCCAAGTTTTCTAACTTTTCCAAACGTTATATAATTACGTGCTGTCGTCACATTTATTTTAAGATATCATGACATGTTCTTTGTTTGTGGTAAGGAATTCCTCTTGGGAATGAGCAGAATTGTCAAAAAAAAATGAAACCCCAGCAATGCTGATAATTGCGTCTGTTTTTTTTTCCCTGAAGGATCTGGCTGTGTGGGTGGACGCAGAGGGTCTGAGCTATGATGGGAGGCGTCAGGTGGAATAAGAGGTGAGAAAGCACAGAAATTACTTGCAGAGGAGAAACATTTTCAGCTGTCAGAGTTGCCAAAGCCTAGAGACTCAACATCTGGCTTGCTGTTGCTGTCAGGAAACCCAACTGGTCTCGCAAAGCATGAACCAATCACCAAAGAACTGTCTGCTGCCTTATAGGAACGATGATATGCTGCATACCCTTTACCTGAGCATCTAAATAGATATGGACAAGGGATACTGGGAGTGTGCTACTGCAAAGTTTGATATATAATGCAAAGCAAAAGGGTTAGAAGGTGAATCTGAAATAAAAAAACGGTCAAGAATATGTAACAATGAGTCACGTCACAACAAAATAAAAATAAAAAATTATAAATATTATTTATAAATAATATAAATAGTTAAATAGTTTCATCATAGTGGTCATTATTAATTGTATGCCAATTTAAATAATTAAAAATGTATTTAAAAATAATGGAAATTACAAAAAAGCATATGTGTTTTTGTGTGTGTGTGTGTGTGTGTGTACAATGCAGTAAAAAGATGTAAAATATTAATACTGTGAAATTTTATAACAATTCAAAATAGCTGTTTTCTATTTTATTATACATTTTAAAATGTAATTTATTTCTGTGACTGCAAAGTTTGGTTTTTGGCAGAATTTTCAATAAATATTCAATTATTATCAACGTTGAAAACAGTCGTTTAATATTTCTGTGTGAATTGTGATACATTTTTTTAATCAGGGTTCAAAGTTTTGTAATTTATTTGTTATAGAAATCTTTTGTAGCATCATAAATATCTTTACTGAAAATTTTGATCAACTGAATGAGCCCTTGCGTTAAATAAATAAATAATATTAATTTTAAAAAACCTTACTGGTCCCAAACTTTCAAGCAATAAAATGTCTGTGTAGGCCTATGTGTGTGTGTGTGTGTGTGTGTGTGTGTGTGTATTATACCTAAATATGCTTTCATGAAATTCACCCTGGAAGACAAAACCTTGGGTAACAAACTTACATACTTTCTATCTTTATTCTTCTGTATATTGTTGGTAACTAACAATGAAGTTTGTAATACAAACTATTATTAACTTAGAAAAATGTGCAAAAAATATATAAAACAAGAACTAGTGCTCTTAAAGATTTACAATTTAGCCATAATATTTTGCTATCCCTTTAATTTACCATTTGAACTCATATTATAGATGAAAACGAAAGTCCATCAAGTAAATCACTCATATTTGCTCATAACTGGTATGGCCACCATATACTTTGCACTCCTACAGTATCTTTCAGCGCTGTTATGAGATATAAAACCAAACCAATAAACTGCATCTCAAAATAAATGCTCGTCCACTCAACATCACACTGTTAATAGTGCTGTGTGAAGTATGGAATATAACACATTTTGTTTAATATAGTCCATTACCGATGATTTCTGGCTGAAGTTGTCAGGATGGAGAGATCTTTGCAGCTCCACATATCTTTTCTGAAGTTTCTGGGTGTCCAAAGAAAATTTGTGTTCACTGAGGAAAGATCAACATATTCAGTTACATATATGCTATAATGTGGTTATGAATTATGAAGTTGAAAGCTGAAAGATATATAGTAAAACTGTATCTGTCTGATCATGTAACAACTACTGTATCATATATACTGTATATATTAACAATGTTCTGGCTTTTAAGTAAATAAAGTAAGGAAGGAATGCAACTTTTTGGAAGCTCAGGACCAAGAAGCCAGAAAATATCATCCGTGAATCGCATAAATGATGCGTTCATAACAATAACAGCGATCTTTAAACTATACCTCCACTTAACTCACCAGTTCAAGATGTCAAAATAATTCGTCTTGTCATCAGGAGGTTGGATCACATTACAGGATGAACAGAAAAATAATTCAGCAGAAGATCCGCATTTCCAGCAGAGTCTGTTGACTGTGACAGTGCTGAACGAGTTCAAAGACAAGTGTCCTTTAACTGCTTTACAGTGAGAAACACCGTTAATGTCTTTCCTGTAAGAGCTGATAGCTCTTCCTGAAGCGAAACACGGAAGTAAGACGAGGTTAAGAAGCTGTCCGTTTGATATACATTTGTTTGCATGTTTAAATCCGTGAGGTGCTAACAAAAATCGGAGTTTGTATAGCGTTATCATGGTCACCCACAGAACAAAATCGGGTTTATGGAATGTTAGCGCGCTACTTCCTGTCAGGAACACCAGAAATGTTGTCAAAATAAAAGTTTTTATTTTTAAAACACTTCAACGTACTTATTTGACTTTTTATTGGTTTGTGGTTATCAATGAATAATGGCTGCAATTACTAGAGTGAGACCGGGTCTATTATTGTTTGCTATCGAGGAACTTTATAACAACAAAAATATGATTTAAATAAGTAAAACACAACATTAACCCAAAGTTAACTACATTTGTACGAAACAGTTAATTTCCCTCCCACATTAAAAATAGTAAAAATTTTAAAAAAACTTTTTGTACCCTGTGTGTTTTACAACGGAAGTTATGCATTTATTTTTCTGAATTGTATCTATTTACTACACTTGTATGTGTTCTTAATTTTAACAGCAATTAATAATAAATGCTATATTGCGAATTGCTGTTGGTAGTGTAATAATAATAATAATCCTTAAAATAACTAATAGCATTAAAAAAATAATGTATATCTACATATATAATAAATTAACATGGAATGTTTATAAACTACATTTCCCATGAGCCTCTACTCAGGCTTCTGATTGGCTGAATGATGTAATGGGAAGTTCATTGAAGGAAACGAGTGGCTTTTCCCGGCAGATTTGACGAGAAGCTCACGCGGCCTGATAACCCACTTCTGCAAGTTTGCTACTTTTAAAAACAGCACTTGGTTAAGGTATGCAATAGGATATGATATTGAAAAGCACCATTAGATGATCTGACGGACATGTGGATTTCTATCAATGATTATTTCTGATGAAAAAAAGCAACAACCCGTTTCCTCGATCGTTAAAAGTGCAGCTGTGCTTTGCAAAAATAGCAATAGAAAATAGACATGGCTTATCTAATCTATTTGGTTCTTCAGTCTGTTTTCTTATCAAGTTTCATTTGATTGCATTGGTGTCGGTGGTGCATGAAATTAGTCCGACCTAAATGCCCTCAGAAACTGAACTTGGAAAGGTCACATGATGTAAAAGCAATTAATTTTCTTTCAAAGCACATGATTTATGCACATATGTCAATTATGTGTCAGTCATTTCTCCTGGAGTGTAATAATATCATATAAGAATTGTTTACTATACTGTAAATATAAAGAAACGTTTTTTCAAGTGGATTTATAAAGAATCGCACCGTTAATCTCTTGTTTTTAATAAGCCCATTAAAATAGATTTTAAAACGAGTGAATTTGTTGTACTCGTATTCTCTCATTTAGTCTTCCATTCATTCATTTTATCCATTTACATTATTTTTTGATTGTAGGGTCAAAATTATAGGAGCTATGAGATGCTAGATATTATGGCCTGGTTTCACAGACAAGGCTTAGACTAAACCAGGATTAGGCCATAGTTCAATTGGGACATTTAAGTAATTTTTTATAAATGTGCCTTACAAACAACATTACTGGTGTCCCTCTTGAGACAAAACAAAGGCATTGATATATTTTAAGATCAATCAGTGCAAGTTTCTTTCAGTTGAAACAGCTCAGATTTACATTTTAATCTGGGACTATGCTTAAGTTTTGTCTGTGAAACCGGGGGTATAGGACCCAGAATTCAGCAAAAAAAATGGTTGAAAATTTATGTGCAAAAAAAAAAAAATGTTACATGCAAAAAGATGCAATTAAAACGTATGATGATGCATTAAAAGTCCTCTGGTAAATGGAATTAGCGTAGGTAAAATATAATATAAATATAAAACATAAAATATGACGTAATACTTTTAAAGCCATGAAGCACTGCAAAAATTCTTGGATACAGTTTTCAAAATAGCGTAGCATGTACTGTATGCAGTGCACTTTGCTGTCATGAGAAAGCCTGGAAATATCAGGAATATTTTAAAAGCATAATTCTAGGCCTAAAAAAATCGTGACAATTTCTGAAATGAGCAGATTTGAAACTACAATATTTAATTGGCAAAAATTATAAATGTATTTTTCCTTGCACAAACAACAAGAAATCACATGCAACATGTTGACAATGTAACATGCATACTGCTGTTTGAAACATTTATCATTATAGTGTATGCTGTGCAAAATTATGTGAGCTGTAAGATGATGTTTTGGGCTTTATACAGCTATTGACTGTTGTTGATATTTTGTTAATTTTTCAGTGTGTACCTCCAGAGTAAAAAACATCATGTCTGAGGAACCTGGACCCAGTGGTCAGTCCCAATCCCACAGTCAATCCCAGACCCAGTCCCAAACACAATCCCAGCCTGGATCCAGCTCCTCGTCCGCCCCAACATCATCAAGCCAGGGCTCTTCCTCAGGCTCAGGGACTCTAAGTTCTGTAGATACAGTACCGGTCCAGGAACTGCAGTCTATTCCTGAAGACGAGGAGGAAGTCCAGCCTCAGGTGTGGGGCCGCGTCATCCCTTTGGTGCATGGATTGAGTGTGCTCAGTTAAGTGTATTATCTTCCTTGATTTAAGAAAGTAAGTGACAAGATACTGTTTGTGCAAGGTGTCCCAATAAGGACATGACATAGCGATTCGTAACTACATGTAGGAAACTTTTTCCTCGTCGAAGCAGAGTCCAGGAGACG